GGAGCTGCTCAACAAAACCCTTGGCGACAGGTCGCCTTGGTTTCTTCTCGAGGACTCATCCCGAGGACTCATCCTCTCTCACGAGTCGCTCGTTCAGCATCCAGCTCACGTAAGGAACCCTCGCACACACCCAGGTTGTGCATTGCCCGATGTTGTGCGTCTGTCACTTCAGACCACTCCTCTGCATCGGGGCTATTTCTGGCTTCTGGATAGCTTTGATGGATGCACAATATCTGCCATATATCGGCACCGGCATGACGCTAGTCAGGCCACCGAATTGCTATTGGCTCCCTGTTGTGTCTGCGGTGTGTAGGTGTGGGTGGTGTGAGAGGTAGGGAGTCTCTTCTGCGGCCAAGCAGGCAAAGCAGCACATCTCCGTGCCAGCCCTCTTGCCCCTGTTGCCGTGCGACCCTCTATCTTCGTCACACTCCCCATATCCCCCGCACAGCAACGCCACAGCCTCTCTCGCTTCGTCACATCGACCAGGCGCGAGTAGAACGCCTTCCTATCCTTCAGCCATTCTGCTATGTGCTGTTCGTGCGTTGGGTGCCTGCGGCCTGAAGGTGGATGATGCGCATCAATTGAGGGCGACTTGCTTTCGCCGCGATCAAGACCATCCGCATTATCCATCCACTCAGCCGTCTCGGCATTATGCCAGCCACACGTCGCGTATGACAGCACATCAGCCTCGGGCATCTCAGCTGATGACAACGCGAGCGCGTATACATCTCAAGTGTCAGCACGCAGGCTCGACAACATGTTGTTCATCGCCCGATCGGCCATCTTGTGGGGCAGAAGGAGCCTTTTCATCCGGCACGAAAACCGGCTTGAAGCCGAGCTCGACGTCATCTATTGCCGCATACTCGATGGGCCCGATCGGCCATCTTGTGGGGCAGAAAGAGCCTTTTCATCCGGCACGAAAACCGGCTTGAAGCCGAGCTCAACGTCATCTATTGCCGCATACTCGATGGCAGTTGGATCGTCTACAGGAGCAATCACTTCCCCTCTTCGATCCAAGTGCTCAGCGAGTGTGCCAGCGACGGATTTCTGTCCCGACGAGCTGCTCTTCCCCTCTTCGAGGAATACTCTCGGTCATGTGCTCCACTTACTCATCCGTCATGTCAGCCCCCTCACCAACAGCTGGCCGGCCGTATGGCCGCGCATCAGCCGCAGCTCCGCTCTCTCTATCCGTCCATCGGCAGACAACGTCTCGCCAGTGCGCCCATCGCATCGACGTCGGCACAGAGTCACTGACTTTGCCTCGTCTATCGTCTGACCGACTGTCTGAGAGGCAGCGGAACAGCTTGTGGGGCAGCTGCTGCATCAGTCATTACAAACATAGCGCCATCCACGATCGGATGCTGGATTCGTGAGCCACTGCATTGACATTCATGGGGATGGGCTCTGGGTTGGGTGCGCGTGGCCCTTCGGGGCTCACTGACACCTGCGCAGCCAAGCCATCCACGTCTCCCATCCGATGCAGGATTAAATCCCTTAATCATGCCACATTCCACACGTCTCGTGTGGTGTCGTCTTTTGTGACAGATTGGTTGTGGATATGCGATTGAAGAGATGCACTGCCAAGGCAATCGCAAAGGACCAGAACGCCACAGCGATGCGATGCTCGATCATCAGAGCACTCGCCATCTCAAGCAGCATGCTGTTCACCGGCTTGGCGATCCCATTCTATGCCGCACTGGGTTCTGCTTGTGGCCTTCCTCTGTACAGGTCTGTTCAACCGACAGCCCCTGTCCATCGCTCGACCGGAGGATCTCAAGCGTCTCCACCTCATCACAGAGGCGTCTCAGTGCTACTACTGACTCACGGCCATCTGGCAGTGGATGCACTCTACGCATCAACGAAGGTGACAGGATACCGACAGCCATCAAGGGTGGACTTCAGAAGTGTAAAAGTCCGACTTCCCTTTTGTGTGCAGCTGACGGTTTCATCGTCTCGGTTGATGGGATTGGGTGCTATTTGCCTGGTCCCCTTCAGCCATCCTCAAGCTGTGAGGGTTCCAAACGAAGCCATTGCGTGCCCTCCTCGTGTGTGCGACACGAGGGCCAAGCATCCGGGCCCGTGGCGAGCTTTGGAGGACGCATCACACACCCTATAATGGTGAGCGAAGCTTATATGCGTCCATCGACAGGCTGCTCTGTCGATTCCATCCGGGTTAGGGATGTTTATGCCTGTGTTTAATTCCTCAGGGTCGGTGTGTAAGACCTTCCCTTCCGCGGTCACTGGCGTGCCTTGAGGATTCACCAGAGATGCTGGCTTTCTCTCTGACCAGTCGCATGCACCGACGAC